GAGAGCCCACCGGCCCTCACCCATCCTCAACACCTTCTACAGAAGCACCATAGCGACGTTCTGACCAGCTGTCTCACTGTGTGGTGTGGAGGCTGCTATGCCTCAGACTGGAAGAAGGTGAGAAGAGTGGTAAGAACAGCAGAGATGATCATCAGGGCTCCTCTACCCTCCATAAAAGACATTTCATCTCAGTGCTGCATGTCCCGAGCCCGTAACATCCGAAATGACCCCTCACCCTCGGATGCAGTTCCAGCAGATTTCAGAACAGTTTCTTCCCCACTTCCATTAGACTGATCTTGGTGAAAGATTAATGCAACACTGGATGGAAATAAATCTTTTGACATTGAAGGAGCTTATCGAAACAATGCCACAGCGAATGCGTGCCGTAATCAAAGCTAAAGGCGGTCCAACAAAGTATTAGAGTGAATTACCTTTTTTTTTGGTGGCGACTTTTTTTTTGGCCAGGCAGTGTATCTGTTTGTGCCTGAGGTTTATCTCCCTGGCAGGTATTTTCAGACAGTGCCTCAAAGTTTACTCCCTCAAAAGATGATGCTTCCAGCCTCAGGCCTTTCTATTTGGGATATTGGGATTTGCAAGCTTCCCTTATGATGGTGGTTATGTCTATAAAGCTGACGTAAGCTTGATAGATGTCTCCAGTAGTTAAAGTATTTAGCTCTTGAGTTTATTTGCAAAGCAATCGGGACGTCTGTGTTTTGGATCAATTGATTCAATCATTTTCATACGAAATTTATTTTACTTTGCGTACAAACCCTGCCTCACATTCTAAAGCATACTGAAAATGATGAGTCTGACTGGATAGTTTTCAACAAACTACTGTGGAACAATTAAAAAAGCCTTTTCATACTTTTAATTTTTTACTGTAAGGCATTCTGAAAGAAGGAAGAACTGAGTTGCACTGATAATAATGCAGATATATAGCTTGATGTTAAGAAAAGTCTGTTTAAAGCAGTATGCTGCTCCTTCAGAGAATGACATAGATCTGTTTAATTAACACACTACACATCTCACAGTCTCCAGTGGCTCCACGATGGGTTTAATAGCACAAAGCTTTCAACACACTGTTTCTGACTCTGTTACCGAGCAAATAAGACTGTAGCTGGAGTGTTAACCAATCCCACTGACTGTCCCTTGGCGAGAGAGGTGTTTTGTGAAAAAAAAAAAAAAAAAAAACTCTTTCACTCATTTCAATAAAGGAGAATCCTTCATTTTGCCTTTACTTTGGTTTTGCTCCCCCCGTCTGCAGAAATCCAGGATAGAACTGAAATCATGCAACTGACTTTGGACCAGTAATCTGGTTAGAGACCAGAGGTTACATAGTCTAGGACTGGAGGCAACCAATTGGGGATCAGTAATCTGGTCAAGAACAAGTATTTATCACACAATGGACCCTGGAAAGAACAGGAGTATACCATCTCTGATATTATTACACAACTGAAAGTCTGATGAAAAATCTAAAAGTTTACTCCCATTTATAAGTTGGCAGACAGGTTGACACAGCCAACAGACATAATTTAATTTAATCAAATAACATTTTTATCTAAAATCTCTTAGGAAATTGTAGCTTGAATAAATGCTCTAATTTAATGTTGGAGCTGACTTAGGGCATCAGGATCTGCCAAAAGTCCATACAAGTAATATATACTTCAAACCAGCAGACATAGAGTACCACAGGGCCCAAAAAAGTATCCAATCAAGGGCGAGGTGCTTTGTCCGGTAGGTAACACCTTCAAAGAGACAAAAATCGACAGGAGCGAGCAGAAACAGATCAACACGCAAAGAAGAGGGAGGCTGCATCGTGCCCAGAGGTGTTGTACTCCATTTGTGCATGTATCATGTTAAAGATGCGAGGGAAGATTAGCTTTTGGGTTTCTGTATTATGTAAAGCTGCTCATAGGAGTCTTTATTGCGTATGTGGACTTTTGGCAGAATCCTGACGTCATACTCACTGATGTGGACATTTTCAGTATGAGTGGTTTAAATTCAGGTAAAACACATCTAAGTTGTCTGCCTTACTTAATTTCAGTTAATCATTTTCTCTCCAACAAGCCCATAGTTATATGACCTAAAGGAAATGTTATCTAATATTACTCTACAGATCCTTACTGTACACATTGGACACATGGAAATACCTCTTCCATTAGAAGTAGTGACTGGAAAATAAACTGATGTCTTCATGTATGCATGTAACAGAATTAAATAATAAAAAATGCATACAGAAGGATATGAAATATTACCGGGTTGTTAGAATTATTGAACATGTGGATTCAGGCCGTGACGCTAAGGCAAAGACACACATTGAGGTTAGAGCTCGGGGCAGATATTCCTAGAAGCAGGACTGCATCGCTGAGGTGTTACTGTCAAAAGCAGGACTTACCTTATAAGTTTTTCTTTATCATCATCATCATCAAAAAAAAAACATTACATCTAAATAACAAAATGACAGAACACCACTGTGGTTTTAATATCAGGTCTTAGAAGTACTGCTAAAATGATAATCAGTGTTTTGATGCTTTGTTACAGCATGTAGCTTCTTTAATAACTGTGTGAAAGAGAAGATGTTGTTGTGTTTATTGTATAAAATGACTTGTACTGTATCTTTAAGTATGAAGTAGATAGTCTGGAGCCTTCCTAATGAGATGTCAGCTTTGCACACTGTAGTTTATCATCTCAAAAGGTTTAATTTCCTGTCGTCAAAATTATCCTTTTTGAGTGACCCCCAACTTACTTGTGTTGCAAAGCTTTCATTTGACAAAACTCCAAATTAGTTAAATTATAGTGTGCCCCCTTAAAAAAAAGGTGGACCACAAGCTGTTTTCAGGGTTAAAATGAGTGATCTGCATAAAAATCTTTGAAAACTGGGATAATTTATACAGTTTTTTTTGTACTTTTGTTTAGTTTTAATTAAAGCAAAGAAAAGTGAAATAATAAGTTAATAGCTTTTTGGTGTCAATGCCACCATTTCCATTACATTAGACTTCAGATCAAATTTATTTCATATAAGAAGATAAAAAAAGCCTCCTTGCTTCTGATTTGAGTTTAAAAAAAACACTACTTTCAGTTATGTTAGCTTTAAAGACCTTATTACAGGATAGATTAAGCTAAAAAAAAAATTTATTTTAAAATAGAATAAAAAATATTTAAAGGAGAAGTTCGGTTTTTTACACTTTAAGCCCATTTTCTGTAGTGTTCAGGATGAAATCGAATGATCGACACCAAAAGTTTGACAATTGCTCCTGTCTCTGCTTTTTGGCTCATTTAGAATCACCCCCTGGCTGCTTTAGAATGGCTTGCATAGAGCATGTCCGATAATGTCCTTAAAACAACCTTAAACGTTCTTTTTTTAAAATATGCTACTCACCGTGTCGTCAGCGCTGTTCAATGACGTTCCAAAAAAAGTTTCGTGAAGAAAAACCGTTCCTGTCTTGTTTTATTTAGCATTTTGTAAATCCCATTGAGTTCTGTAGGAATAGTCAATATTCCGCTGCCACCGGAAACGGAAATGGGGCCTGTTTACACAGTTGTAGTCTTTTCGCTTCACTCTGTGTACTCCGACGTCGAGGTGCTAACGTCTCTGTTAAACACTTTAAAAAACTCTGAAAATGGAATACGAAAGGTGGATTCTTGATTCTCGACGTCGGAGTACACAGAGTGAAGCGAAAAGACTACAACTGTGTAAACAGGCCCCATTTCCGTTTCCGGTGGCAGGGGAATATTGACTATTCCTACAGAACTCAATGGGATTTACAAAATGCTAAATAAAACACTACAGGAACGTTTTTTCTTCACGAAACTTTTTTTGGAACGTCATTGAACAGCGCTGACGACCCGGTGAGTAGCATATTTAAAAAAAAGAACGTTTAAGGTTGTTTTAAGGACATTATCGGACATGCTCTATGCTAGCCATTCTAAAGCAGCCAGGGGTTGATTCTAAATGAGCCAAAAAGCAGAGACAGGAGCAATTGTCAAACTTTTGGTGTCGATCATTCGATTTCATCCTGGACACTACAGAAAATGGGCTTAAAGTGTAAAAAACCGAACTTCTCCTTTAACGCACATTTTAATCTTGCTGAATTTTATTCCTTAAGGCCTAGCTTTGTCTGTCTTCTCTGTTCATATCATCATGGATTTTGTCTAAAAGTTTTAAGAAAGTGCTCTGAAACATTAATGAAAAACTTCAAATAAATATAAGTGACATAGAAAAACCCTGCAGCTCTTCTTCTTCCTCTTCAAAAAAAAACACAAAAAATGTCAGTTTGTCATTTTGAAACTAAAGTGAAATTATTTGTTTTTTTGTGTGGTTAAAGTTAGACACAAATTATTTACTCGCCATCACCATTTTTTTTTTATAAACCAATTCAGTATGAAATAGACTTGCAGCATTATTCAATAAAATTTTTAATATCTAATCTAAAATATCTAAGATTCAGTACAAATTTTCCTTAAGATAGTCAGTCCAAATGTCTTTTACAGTTACACCAATGTAAATGACTTCTGCATTATTTGGCTAACAAACTTCACATACAAAAAACAAGCATGAAACTATAAGTCCACTTATATGGAAGAGATCAGGGATTTGAAAGCACTTTTGGTATTTTAAAACAAACTAAACACTCTGTCTACAAGTTTGAAGCTTCTATCCTAACCTTCAGGGTGTCGCATGAATACTTTACCAGTGAACCTATAGAAAGTTGCCTGGTTCATGGCTGTGATTTACGTGGCAGGTGGTTCATTTTTCAGGATGTTTTAAGCTTGTTCTGTTTCTGCAAGTGGAAATGCTGTTAAACATCCAGTATTAGAAATCCATTTCCTTTATGTATTGTCAGAATTGCCATCAAACTGCTAAAAGTTAGAACAAGTTTAAATCATTCTGGTGATGTTGAATGTCACTATTTAAACTCATTAGGGAAACTTTAAATTAGGTTTATTTTTCTCTAGTTCTAACGTCATCTAATTCTGCAGCATTTTTTCTGTCTTCACAGGGAGTCTTTCCTGCCAGCTACATTCACTTGAAGAAAGCAATCGTTACCAACAGAGGGTAAGTTCAGAAACATGGCGGATATCTTAACATGCTGTCTGTAGGTTTTTGCTTCTGTCCAAAATGTTGTGCTTTTCCTACTGTTAGATGCTGCAAATCTTCAGTTATTCCTACATTCAATGATATTGTCAGTAGGTTTGCTTTAGAGGTGCAAGTCACTAATGCTTATACTGTACACCCTTTAAAAAAAGATTTGTCTTCTCCTTCTTTTCCTACTACTGCGATTATTTCTACTACTATTAATGGTTATAATAATGATCAGACCTAATATTATTAAACAGACTTAATACAGATCCCTGATTCAGCTAGAACTGTAAAACAACTCCAGATTTTTACTGCAAGTCCAGAAGGGGCTTAAACCATCAATTAAGCAACTTTTCAGCTTTCATGAAATATTTTCATAACTTTTGTGATTATAGGTTAATTTACAGCCACCAGTTGAATGACTCCTCTGTCATGGCCTGAGGGGGTATGTATGGCTTTCTCCGCCACCGTGACTTTGAGGAGGATGGCAGTAACCCTGCCACACAAAACAACTACAAATGTGCAGACTGCTTTACGTCATTTCCCCCATACCCATAAAGATGGTAGTCGATTCCACTTAATTTCCCTGAGAGACTATATATTCATGCAAGCTGTGCAGGGGGAGAGGGGGTGTGTATTCAGGCAATGTGGCACCTTCTTGCTGGGATCTATATATGTTTAATGTGAAACTATCATACGACTTTGTTTCGCCACAATTAGATCCATTACCTCATCGCTATTCATCTTTCAAAGCCACTGGAAACAGAAATGTAGTTCAATCCAGCTGCAGGTCTCCGGGAGATCAGGATTTTACAACGCTATGGTCTTTAACCACACTGGGACTCTTGGGAAATGTTGTCTTCCTTCAGGCAAAACAGTACAGTTTTTGTCCTCTGGGGGGAGCCAAAATTGAACAAAGCTGAAAGTTCTTTACAACTGCTTTAATATTACAAAAGTTGCTTTAAGCAATAAAACACATGATCTGTTTCAGGATTCTGTTGTGCCCAAACTTTGAAACTATTGATGGTAAATTTGCTTTGTTAGTGGAATAAAAGACTGAATAAAATGTATTAACTGCTTAAATTATTACTCACTATCTAATGTAGCTGTTTCCAACAGTAAAAACATACATTGTACTATTTATGGTGTTTTCAATTGTCTCGTTATACCCCTGAGGTCTACCCCTACCACACTGAGCCATGTTCTGCTGGAGGTTTCTTCCTATTAAAAGGGAGTTTTTCCTCTCCACTGTCGCTTCAAGCATGCTTAGTGTGAGGGATTGCATTCAAGTCAATGATGCAATCAACTGGTTTTCCTTGCACAGAAAACTTTAAATCAATTTGACTGTATGATCTGATGAACTGTAAAGTGCCTTGATATTCTAAGGTTAAATAACTTCATTTGGCATTTACTTTGGGCTTTAACATTTTTTCTCTATTAAGCATTTAGAGTAAACAAAAAAATAAAACCTGAATATGTGAGCACAAAAAGTGGCATTGATAAAAGCTAAAATAGATCCAATTAACAGCTTATAATTATTAGACTTTGGGAAATCTAAAGCGTTCCTTTTTAAATTGCCCTTTCATTGGGTTTATAAACCCTCCAGGGAAGAACTGAACATTTAAAACACAAACCACAAAGCCTGCCACTATCTATATCGCACCCCCCCCCCCCCTTTTTTGTTTTGTTTTGCATAATTTATAGTCTTGTATATAGAAAGTCCAAAACACTTTTGCACCAAACTGAATAATAACATCTTTAACTCATCAGTACTGATATGATTTTGCAAAAAGATGCAGAACTAAATCACTTCTGTCTACAGTGTGTTTATTGTTCTGGGAAACATTTCAAATTTGATTCAGTAAAATACAAAGTACAGTTTGTTATGTCATAAAGTAAATTTTATAATACATTTGACTGAAATAACCTGTTGTAAAAAAAACAACAACCATCTAATTAACCAGAGTTATGTTTAATGCCAACTGCCCTCTCTTATAATAATAATAATAATTATAATAAAAAATTACATGAAGTTAAGGCATGTTTTTTCCTTATTTCAAACTACCTGTACAGTAGATAAGTGCTACATAATGCTGAAAGTCAGAAAGTGCTTCATCGATTTTAGAAGCCGGTGTATGGTAATAAATATGAATGAAAGTATGCTACTGATTGGAATCTACCACATCCATCCAATGTGAAATTTTTTTTATTACACTTAGGGCCGGATTTATCAAAGGTTTGCGTGTATTAAAACGTGAGCTATTTCACTGCGCACGCAAAAAAATGTACAAACTGATCTATCAACAGCGTGCTAAAAGGATTTGGTCTTTAAAACGGGCTAAATAGCGTCTCTTATCCATTTAGTACTTTTTCTGCAATGAATATTCAATATAGGGCGTTTACACGCAAAAGTGCGTCTTGTGGGAGGATAACATGTAAATACACTATATTGCCAAAAGTATTTGCTCACCTGCCTTGACTCACATATGAGCTTAAGTGACATCCCGTTCCTAATCCATAGGGTTCAATATGACGTCGGTCCACCCTTTGCAGCTAGAACAGCTTCAACTCTTCTGGGAAGGCTGTCCACAAGGTTTAGGAGTGTGTTTATGGGAATTTTTGACCATTCTTCCAGAAGCGCATTTGTGAGGTCGCACACTGATGTTGGACGAGAAGGCCTGGCTCTCAGTCTCCGCTCTAATTCATCCCAAAGGTGTTCTATCGGGTTGAGGTCAGGACTCTGTGCAGGCCAGTCAAGTTCATCCACACCAGACTCTGTCATCCATGTCTTTATGGACCTTGCTTTGTGCACTGGTGCACAGTCATGTTGGAAGAGGAAGGGGCCAGCTCCAAACTGTTCCCACAAAGTTGGGAGCATGGAATTGTCCAAAATGTCTTGGTATGCTGAAGCATTCAGAGTTCCTTTCACTGGAACTAAGGGGCCAAGCCCAGCTCCTGAAAAACAACCCCACACCATAATCCCCCCTCCACCAAACTTTACACTTGGCACAATGCAGTCAGACAAGTACCGTTCTCCTGGCAACCGCCAAACCCAGACCCGTCCATCAGATTGCCAGATGGAGAAGCGCGATTCGTCACTCCAGAGAACGCGTCTCCACTGGTCTAGAGTCCAGTGGCGGCGTGCTTTACACCACCGCATCCGACGCTTTGCATTGCACTTGGTGATGTATGGCTTGGATGCAGCTGCTCGACCATGGAAACCCATTCCATGAAGCTCTCTGCGCACTGTTCTTGAGCTAATCTGAAGGCCACATGAAGTTTGGAGGTCTGTAGTGATTGACTCTGCAGAAAGTTGGCGACCTCTTCGCACTATGCGCGTCAGCATCCGCTGACCCCGCTCCATCAGTTTACGTGGCCTACCACTTCGTGGCTGAGTTGCTGTCGTTCCCAAACACTTCCATTTTCTTATAATACAGCTGACAGTTGACTGTGGAATATTTAGGAGCGAGGAAATTTCACGACTGGATTTGTTGCACAGGTGGCATCCTATCACAGTTCCACGCTGGAATTCACTGAGCTCCTGAGAGCAACCCATTCTTTCACAAATGTTTGTAAAAACAGTCTGCATGCCTAGGTGCTTGAATTTATACACCTGTGGCCATGGAAGTGATTGGAACACCTGATTCCAATAATTTGGATGGGTGAGCAAATACTTTTGGCAATATAGTGTATATTAATTTAGCACTCGCAAAGTGATTTATCAAACCTGAAAGCAATTTTGCTAACGGTATCTGACTCTATATTTAACACGTTTCAAAAGAAGGTGCAAATGGTCTGTATGCGTAATTGCGCACACATGGCAGCGGTTATTGTCGCAAGAAGGAGAAATCGAAATGAAGCAAGGAGACGCAGAGAACGCATTTTTTCACTCCGTGTGAATATTTTTGGAATGAACGAGGAAACGATCATCAAAACATATCGTTTATCCAGCATTGCCATTTTGGAGCTGTTGGGGGAACTCCGAATGGATTTGGAGCCAGGCACAAGGAGGACCCACGCAATACCAGATATCACGAAACTCCTTGCAACATTGCACTTTTTTGCATCTGGGATCTCCCAATCTCGTTTTTCAGAAGTGCTGTCCGACGTTCTAAATACCATGTCGCCCTGACGCCCTACCGGAGAACCCCGACACCCTGCGCCTGTGGAGCAACATGCCAATGCAGTCATCTTATCCACAGTCACTTCTTGTGAGCCATTTGGTATGTGCATTTTTCTACAGGCCTATAAAAAACACCTGTTTTATTTTTGTTTGTGTGTTTTTTTCTTACTGCGGTGAAATAGAAATTCAGCCACATACCACCTTAGGGAATAAAGGTTGCCAAAGTTTATATATATATATATATATATATATATATATATATATACATTTCTTTTTTTGGAGGGGGTGGTGTCACTGTAAGATAAAAATTTCTTAATGAACTAGTTTGCACAAACTACAAACTACTTTGCCGCAAACCACAAAACGCGCAAAACCATCATTTAAATAGGGCGTCTCCAACAGTTTTGCGCCTGCCACCAGTTACGCAATCGCTCTTGTTAAATCACCCGCAAACCATGGTTCAGCCCCTCGCGCAAAATTCCACTTTGCGAGCGCAAATTACTGCACGCAAAATTGGATCTTGATAAATCCGGCCCTTAGTATTCTTGGCTTGGTCTCTCTAGTTTCATTATATGAAAATGATTTCCTAACTGTCGTCTCAGAGGACTTTCATGTCCCCTAAATTCACCTCCAGGAGATAACTGATGAGGCAATAGGCATTTTCATTCGGATGTTGCGTTCGTACTCCCCCTAGAAGGAGCATACGTACACTGCTGGGAGTCAGAGAAATAATGAGAAATCATAAAAAAGGGCATTTAGTTATGAAACTGAACTGAGATAGGTATTTACAAGTATGGAAATTGTTCACTTTATAATAACTTTAGAGGTTAAATATGTTAGAATATTCTTTTTA